TCCCAGGGTATCATTCACGGATTTATTCATTTCTTCAAACTTTTTGTTATAATTCTCATCCATTTCCTTACTCATTTCTTCAATCTTTTTGTTGTACTTCTCATCCAGTTCTTTAAGGGAGTTATTCATATCCTGTTTAAGGGACTCTATTGCTTTCATAATGGCACTTTTTTCCACTTCTGAATTTAGAGGTTCAAGTCCTTCTATTGTAGGGTCGTTGGGATCTGGTGTTTTCATGTTGTTTTTCAGATTGTTGGAGGAGTTCTTGCCTTGGCGTCTGCCCATCTCTTCCTTCAAATGCTCTCTATTGGATCTTCTGGTACCAGGACAGGTTCCCTTGTTGGGCAGGGACTTCACTGACAGAAGGCCTATCTTTCCTCAGGCAGTCTATTGAAACACAGGCACTCCCTCCTGCCGTGTTGCACTCACAGCCCAGGCCCAGTGCTCAAGGCAACTGAGCTGGGGAAATCCCCTTCCTCCAATGGATGTCTGCTAGAAGATCACTGCCTCTTGCTGGCCAGGAATGTGGCTGAGCTGAAACAGAACCGGCCTGTCCTCAGACAGGCTATCAAAGCACAGGAACTCCCCTGCTGGAATGTGCCCATAGCCCAGGCCCAGCGCGCAAGGAAGCTGCTCTGGGGATATCTTGTGGCCCCAGGGAGAAGGGGGGGAAGAGATGAAGGTGTACCTGGATGAAGGCTGGGATGGGATTTGGGAGAGCTCCGCAGAGTGGAGCCACCACTGCAGGGTGACCAGGAAGTCGACGGGGTCGGGGAAAGTCTGAATTCCTCCTAGCTGAAGCCCTCTGGCCAGGAGCACACTCATCCTTCCTCAAATGGGTGTCTGCTAAAATATCATTGCCTCTTGCTGGCCAGGAATGTGACTAAGCTGACACAGGGCCGGCCTGTCCTCAGGCAGACTATCAAAGCACAGGAACTGCCCCTGCTGGTTTGGGCCCACAGCCCAGGCCCAGCGCGCAAGGGAGCTGTTCTTGCCTTGGACATTTGTAACAAATCAATCTGATAATACATTTCTTCTCTTCTCCCTTACTCTGACCACACTCCTATGAATCCCTGGAAATGATATTTTATAATACTGCTGTAGGACTCAGTTTGACTTGATCTTGATGGGTAGAGACATACCCACTATGAATTTTTGCTGTGACTTCCATCCTGTGACAAATAAATAAATCCAAAAAGTATTTATATTTTTACTCATTATCTTTAAACTTCACCTAGACCTAATAACTCAGGCATTGGCAAGTTTCTGTACCCCCTATGGAAAGCTTTCCATATCTGTGTGTAAGTGGATCATATAACTTAAAAGAACACAAATACAATTAACAGGGTTAACAAGAGATCAGGTGTACCTTCAGCATATAAGTAAGCCTATAATCCTAGCATGTGTGGTGCAGAGGTTAATCTCAAGTTCAAAGTCAGCCTGGGATATATAGTAAGACCATGTTTCAACTTCATTTTCATAAAGTAATTGTATCCTCTTTGTCTGATGTTAATCTGTCTGGGATCCATCATTTAAGTGTTACTGGAAGAAATGTGTGCAAAACAAAACAAAACAACAGCAACTGGTTTATAAGGTATAGTCAATAGTCAAAAAACAAATTGAAATTATATAAGAAGCCAAGAATTCAACTTAAATTTCAGAGTTGATCAAAATCTTCAGAGTTAGATATGTAAAACAAACTACACTTGAACTGTGGCATTTAATTTTCTTATAATCAATGTAGACTAAAACTTTACATTTTTCAGATGACCATAATCAAATATAAAGTGGTAAACTGTCCAAATATTTAAAATAAAAATGCTGGTTGATTAGAAAATCCCAGTTTATAGAGCAATAAAATAACTTTTTAAATAGAAATTAACTTTTTTAAATTACCTTGTGCCATTTCTTCCTTTTGTTAAATATTTTGAATTATAAATTAGCAGATTTTGCATTCTACATTACATTGGTAGTGTATTAGCAAAGAATGGGTAGAGAAATTAACTTTATTCATTTATGCTTTTCAGTGCTCCTTACCTATTGGATTCCTCATTTTGGAATTAGTAGCAATAATAAAAATAACTTATAAGTAAAACAGTGTAATAGTTTCAGAGATTAATGTCCCCCATAGGCTTATATATTTGAACATATGTTCCCTAGCTGGTGGTTCCATTTTGGTATGTTATGGAAACTTTTGCAGGTACGGCCTTACTTAAAGGAGTATGTCATTTGGGGAGTGTTTTAGTGTTTTATTGTGGTGAAGAGATACCATAACCAAATCAGTTCTTATAAGAGAAAACATTTAATCAAGGACTTCCTTAGAGTTTTAAAAGTTTAGTCCTTTATCATCATGGTAGGAGACATAGATGTACAAACAGGCAAAAAAGGTGCTGAGAATACATGAGAGCTATGTCCTGATCCTGACCAAGAGATACCATGGGGTTGTCATGGGTGACTACTTCTTGTAACACACCTCATTCAAAAAGTCCATACCTCCTATTCCTTACAAATAGTGCCACTCTCTGGTGATTAAGCATTCAAATCTATGAGCCTATGGATGACCTTCTTAATCAAACTACTATAGGGAGGTTTGAAAATTTTATAGACTTAAACCATTTTCAATACATTTGTTTGTCCTGAATGTGGTTGGAGAAGTGATTGTTCCACTTCCTGCTCAGGCCATCTGCTACTGCCATGACTCCCTCACCACACCACTATAGGCTCTCTTTCTGGAATCATAACCCTCACCACCCAAAGAAAAATTTCTTCCTTTTATAAGTTGCCTGAGTCATGGTATTTTATCATAGCAAAAACTAAGAATTGCTACTAATACCTTTAATATCATCAATTAAAGATGTCATTTAATATAAATTTCCAGAATTATAGAACGGAAATTCTCAATTTGTGGGTTGTAACACTTTGGGAGTCATATATCAGATAACTGCATAGTATATATTTATATTACAATTCAAAACAGTGACAACTTTCCAATTATGAATTAACAATGAAATAATTTTATGGTTGAGATCGCCAGGACATGAAGAACTCTATTAAAGAATTGCAGCATTAGGAAGTTTGAGAACAACTGTTTTAGAATAAAAGATGAAATTTTATTGTCCCTATAAAGATGTATCTGTGATAGCTTGAAAGGAATTGCCTTTAAAGGGAGTGGGGCTATTAGGAGGTTAGGCTTTGTAAGAATGGGTATGGTCATGTTGAGAGAAGTGTGTTACTGTAGAGGTAGGCTTAGAGATCTATGCTCAAGCTATACTAAGTGTGGCTCACAGATGATTCCTGTTGCCTTCAGATCAAGATGTAGAACTCTCAGCTCTTTGTCCATCACCATTTCTACCTGCTCGCTGCCATGTCCTGCCATGAAGATAATGGACAAAACCTATGAATTGTAAGGCTCTCTTAGCCAATTAAATGTTTTTCTTTATAAAAGTTGTCATGGTCATGGTTTCTCTTTACAGTAATAGAAAACCTAACTAAGACAGTACCACAGATATTTACTTTTTAGTATATGCTTAGAAATATGTGTAACATTCTTATCTATCTTAATTTGTTTGATAGTCTTGAGACTTCACATTGACTTGGAAATTTATTTTTCTTAAGACTTTTTAAAATTTTCTCTCTGTGTGTAATGCATATGTTTCTGAATGAGTATATGCCACACATGTAAAATTGTCCACAGAGGCCAGTAGATGGTGTTGGATGCTCTGAAATGAAGTTATTGCCCCTTGTGAGCATACTATCTATGTATGCTTGTATATGTAAAATAGAAAATTTTCTTCAAAATAGCATGTCTTAGTATCTTTTTATTGTTTTTAATTAAATTTAATATTTATCAATCAACTCCTATGGACAGGGGACAAGAAATAGGAAAAAAAAGATGGAGAGGAGATAGAACTAAGAATAAACTAAGAGACAATATTCCATCACTAAGACATGTCATATAGTCATTTAGTTTTATCAGCAATCAGTTTTTGATGTAGGCCTACTGTATTCAGCAATATAAAATATACTTGATGAAGGAAAAAAATATGATGGCCCTTTTCAATGGGAAAGTTTGTAAAATATGCTTAAGTTTGCAACTTACAAAATTAAAGATTATTAAGAAACATTGGGTGCCTGCTTGCCTAGTCCTGCTGGCTACCCTGGAACTCCATTCAAGTTTATATAAGGGTGGAAAATCGCAAGAAACCTGACTGTGAACCAAGTCTACATATCTGGAGAGTTCCTAAGAAACACGACATTGGAGAGAGAGAGAAAAAAAAACAGTGAGATAGATGTTGCAAGATGTGGACATGAAAGGGAGAGGGAAACAAACTTACTTCACAAAGAAATAGTGAAACTTGGGTTATATAAAGGTGAAATTGCTCTCAGGAGGTTATGGTATTCAGTCAATGAAAAAGCAAAGAAGAGATTTGTGTGAAAGGGTTGAAATTGTTTATTGTATCCAACCCGCTAGTGCTTAATAATCAGATACCCTTTCTTTCAAGACCATCAGTAAGTCTCAGTTCTGATGCATTCCATGTCCCCAAGTTCATGCTTTGGATTTGAGCACAGGCATTTGTTGCTCCCTTGATATGACAGAAGTAAAATTAACTTTGGAGTCCTTAAACACAGTAATAAACTTTAAGAAACAGTTTCTATAATTTCTAGAAAATAAAAACTAGAGATAAGTTCATGCTAAGTCGAACACATTAGAATGAGACAACAGCCAGGTGTGATGCAGGTGTATGTACTCGGATTTATTTACACAATTCATTAAAAGTATTTATTGCTGAGAATCCACAAAGCAGGATCAGTCTCTGGGTCAAAGCTCCATTGTCCCTTCCAATCACTTCGTGCAATCCCTTATTTCTACCCCACCCCAGCTCTCAGCACTCACCCAAGTCCCAGCATCAAGTAGTCTCCTGGATACCCACCCCCAGTGCATTATCAGCTGCAATTTTTTCCTCTCAGCTCAGGCACACAACCAAGGAAGATAGAGGAAGATGGTAGCTATGAAGACTTGGCTCTCTACTGCTGGTATTCCTCTTCCTGGCAGCTGGGCTGGGAGAAAAAGAAGAGGTTCGATTCAGATCCCCTGCTAAATTTGGTAGCCCCCTGCCTCGAGGCCCAAGGTATGCAGAGGGGAATTTCATCAACAATTACAGCATTGCCATGAACAAGATCCACCAACAAGACCTTGTGAACTGACTGCTGGCCCAGAAGAGGAAGAAGAATGACAGGAAACAAAATTACCCAGAGAGAGGCCCAGGTATTGGAGCTGACAGGACAATCTCAGAGAAATGAGGAAACAGAGGGACATCAGAGCTCCTTGCCCAAGAAACCCAGTGATGAAGATGTGCTCAGGGACTTGCACATCTATTTGCACAGAGTTACTGACCTGGATGGTGGACCAAAAAGAGCTCTGTTGGCTCAGGTCTCAGTGACTGACCTAGGCCAGATCAAGACTGGACTCTGCCCTTTGCTTCCTCAGCTTCTACTTCTGCCCTGATCCAAAGTCTTCAAGAGAAACAAACCAATAAAGTCTTGAGCTAAAGTAAAAAGAGAATATTTATCGACACCTTTGTGGTAATTTTATACACAAAGAAAGAATAAGCATCCATAAAACACACATGATGCCTACCGTGATAGAACTGAGAAACTTACTAAATTGGTCTGCCTACACAGGGTTTTTGACAACTGTTTATTTTCATGACAATATGATTCTTTTGAAAGATTTCAGACATCATGTATTTAAATTTTTATTCAATTTTTAGGGAAAATTCTAAACAATTTAAAGTTTCCTAACTTGGTGGTGTATGTTCTCTACATTTTAAAAACATCAGGGAAAATAGAGAGAAAATTGACGAAGAACAATGCAAGTGGCCTGTAACCTTTAGGTCTCTAAATTAGACATGAGAAAGGAGAGGAACAATCAAAAGCCATTCCCTGGATCTGCTTTCTTTAGGTGGCTGAAATAAGAGCTCCTAAGTGATTGAATCCAATACTGAAAACCTCTACAGCCTCTTACTGAGGTCAGAATCGGTCACGGCAGTCTGATAGATTCAGTGAAATGGATCAGATTAGTTTGTAAAATTTCTCTGAGAAGAGTTTAGGCTAGAAGAGTGAAGTATAAACAAAGTCATGTTTTTTGCCTTATTTACAGAGATCCTTAAATGGTAAAACTAATATTATGGCTTAAGAAATAAATAATTCCCTCTGGAAGAAGAGAATAGCATAGAAGATAGTGCCTATAGTTGCATGGAAACGTCAAGACTTGTACACTGATTAAATTATTGGAAGGTGGTTCTCACACATGTAATAATGGTGTTGGTTTATAGACTGAGCTGGTTCTGTCTCAGTTACTAGAATATGCTTATTTTGGACTTGGATGTTATGATGGTTAATACTGATTGTCAACTTGACAGGATTTAGAATCACCTAAGAGGCATATCTCTGGATACACATTTAAGGGTGTTTCTAGATTTGCGTAACTGAAATAGAAAGATCGATTACAAAAGTGTTTGGTGCCTTTCCATGGACTGAGGCCCTAGACTGAATAAAAAAAAAATAGCAACTGGGCCCTCAGTATTCATTGCTCACTCTGATGCTTGACTTCGGATGCATTGTGACTAGCTTCCTCATGCTCTGATTTCCATGTCTTCCTTACTGTCATGGACTGGGCCCTAAAACTGTGGGTCAAAATTAAACCATCCTTGCTTAAGATCGATATATTAAGTGTACAATTTATCAACTTTTTATCAGGTATTTCCCAGCACTCATGAGTCAGAGACAGACAACTCTCTAAGAATTCAAGGCCAGCCTAACCTACAAAGTGAGTTCCAGGACAGCCAAGAAAACATTATGAGAACTTGTCTCAGAAAAACGAAGCAAATAAAAAATAAGAAAGTAATTTGCACATATAATATCTTTACTTTCTATTATTTTATATTATGGATGCTTTCTGCTGGCATGTATGTGTGTATACCACAAATGTGCCTGTCACTTGCAGAGCCCGGAAGGATGTTTCCAATCTTCTGGAAGTAGAGCTATGTATATTTGTGAGCTGCCATGTCGGTTCTGGGAACTGAACACATGTAGGTCCTCTGGAAGAGGAGTCAGTGTGCTTAACCACCAAGCCAAATCTCCAGTCCCATATCCAATAGTTTGTTCACATGTTTTCCTTGATTTCTTATATCATTATTACTTTCTATGGCAAATTATAACACAGTCTTTAAAAATATTTATTTTATTTTAAATGATGTTTATCTCTGGCTTGTGTGTGCATTGTATGTGGGTATATGCATGTGGTTTCAGGTGTCCAATGAGGCCTGGGGAGAACAGGGTGGTAGATTCTGTAGAAATATACTTAAAAGGCAATTAGAAATCACACCTTGTGGGTGTTGAAGTCAAACTAGTTTCCTCTACAGAGGCAGTATATGCTCGTAACAACTAATCAATATCTCCAGCCCCTATAACACAATCTTTATTATACTGTTTGCTGTTATTAATTAAGTAAAATTGTGGACTTAACAAATAACATCACATTATTTTTAAAATACAATTATTTTTCTTTAAATTCAACTTCTAATTATCCACTTAATCATTACTAGTATTACCTAATATATACTTATTGTCTCAAATATTGAGCCAAATGTTTCAAAGAAGGTCTTACTCATATTTAATAGGAATATAATAAAGAGTTGAATTGCCCATTATCTTCAGTTATTCAATGTTCATTTCTTCTAAAAATTCTAGGTTAAATATATGACAGGCTTAATTTTGAATTATTTACTTATTTTTTATAACTCTTTTGCTCCTAAAACATAATAAGATAAAACAAAACCATCACATTGAAGTTAGAAAAGGCAAACCAGCAGAAGAAAAATAATCTCAAGAGACAGCACAGGAATCAGAGACCTACTTATGTACACATTAAGGAGTCCCAAAAAGGTACTAAACTTGGAAGCATTTTCTAAATTGAAATTCCCTCCTTTTGGTTTTATGTCACTTTGTGTTAAGTTCACATAAAGTTATCCAGCAGAGAGGGAAAGACAAAGATTTATATAAGCTTAAAAATCTGACTTTCCACTTACCTTTTTTTGTTTTTTTGTTTTTTGAGACAGGGTTTTTCTGTAGCTTTGGAGCCTGTCCTGGAACTAGCTCTTGTAGACCAGGCTGGCCTCGAACTCACAGAGATCCACCTGCCTCTTCCTCCCGAGTGCTGGGATTAAAAACATGCGCCACCACCACCTAGCTCCACTTATCTTAATATTTATATTAGGTCATCTAATAATTTGTAAGCAAATAAGTCCCAACTCTGATGAGTATTGTGGCTGATGGGTTAATGATATCTAAATAAATCTATGATTAACTTATGAAGTAATATGATTTGAATAAGCACTAGTTAAAATCATGTTCATAATCCTCTAGCAGGTAGGACATAGGCACTACATGGACACCTCAACTTCATCATCATTATAATAAATAAATATGAGATGGTGAGATGATAACAGTCATGAATTTGAATACTTAATGTTATCAAAATATTTTAATTTTTCATTTTATGTGTTCTACTTACATTATAGTTGAAGTGATCACTGAAGAGTTCCAAAACTTAAGAATATATTGATTTGGAATTAATGGATGACAGGGAAAAATTAACCTTTAGAAGGTGTTTTAATAAATGTTTTATCTAGTTTTTAATTATCAATGCAGAGCTTTTAAATTTGAAATAGATTTGATATTCATAAATGACAAATTTCTTGGAAATTCTGTAAAAATGAGTCCAAATTATTCACAAAATATCATATTTATAAAAATAAGTACAGGTTAATATAATTGGTCTGAAGTTGTCTTTAGCAGTATTTAATAATAAGATCTCAAGGATCAAATTTTATAAATAAATCATGTGATGGTGAATCTTGGTTGTCAACTGGACTACATCTGGAAAAACTAATACCAAAGTATGTCAATTCCTGTGATAATTTTCTCTATCAGATTATTTCAAGCAAGAACCCTCATCTTAAATGTGGGTCACACCCTCTGTTGGGAGCTCATGTAAATGGACTTGGGAGAAGGAATCTTTTTCAGTTTAGCTGTTTGTCCTCATCATCATTGGTAAGTTCATCTATCCTTTTGCCAAGGCCTTACTTCACTGGTGTTGGAACCTACTTCTTCAGGATTTCAGTGTAGACCAAAGAACATCATTTCTCCAGTAATCCTCCAGGCATATAGCAGATTAGGACTGCTGAGACATCCAGCTTAATGGAGTGAACCAAATTATCAGTTTTAGATATAGATTGCAGGCACATGAAAATGAGAAGACAGAAATTGACCTCAATGGAAACAAATAGCAATTTTATCACTATGAGGGACACGCAACCTTCCTGATGGAATAAATGTCTTGCCTTATAGAGATTGGGAAGCCATTGTTTTATAGAAGACAAGAGTGGTGATTACAGCAAAGGAGTTTTGTAAATTTTTCTAAGAACTGGGGGTTGGTTGGACACCTGTGGCTATTTGAAATGTAAGGTATAGCTTGGGGTGGTGGTGGTATGGGAAGTCCTTCTGTGTATGTGTTTCTTTTATTGGTTAATGAATAAAGAATACATTTGGGCCTATGACAGGGCAGAATAGAACAAGATGGGAATTACAAGTAGAGATAGAAGAGAAAATTAGATGGAATCACAGAGATACCACAGAGCTGCTGAAAGAAACAGACACCGGAACCTTACCTGGTAAGCCACAGCCTTGTGACAATACATAGAATAATAGAAATGGGTTACTTTAAGATGTACGAGTTAGTTAATAAGAAGCATAAGCTAATATGCCAAGCAGTGTTGCAATTAATATAATTTGTCTGTGATTATTTCTGGTCTGGATGGCCAGGGAATAAACAAGCAGTCTCTGCCTACAGAGCAGACTTCCTTATCAGGAGGTACAATGTTATCTTAGGGGGAGATTCTTCAGTTCTACCATCTTTCATTCAGCCTCTCCAATGTGTGACAAAACTATTATTAGACTACCTGGACTGTATCCTGTAATCCAATCTAGTAAATCCTCTTTTAATATACAGTCATTCTATCAGTTCTGCTCCTTTAGAGAACTCTGAATAATATAAAGTGATCACTAAATTTTGCTTAAATTTTGAACCCCAACTACAGTCAGTATCACTGTACTCTGAATTTCAGTCACTGTAACTTCTCTCAGTATTCTGATGATCCTTGAATTGAGAAGTAAGTTAGTACTTTTCATAAGCCTTTCATGTAACTGTCTATAGTCCCTTAGGTCCCACCTTTTGCTTTTTGAAGAAATTCCTTGTACCTTTCATGTTTCTCCCTCATGCTCCCTTTCTATAGCATAAGTCAGACCAGGAATATCACCTGATAGCTCATATAGGCCCTGTACTTAGACTAGGGGAACTGTTCCTGCCTCACAGTATCAA